CCGGCGGCCGAACCTCGCTACTGTCCCAACACCCAGAGCGCTTCCTCTGCTCCAACTTCATGCCATGAATGTTTAACCCTGACAGCCCGGTAGTAAAATATTTCATCGCTGCAAATCGGCACGCCTCAGTCCCTAAAATGCTCCTTCTCGTGTACATTTTAACTAACTCTGAACAGTAGCAGACACGGGGTTTTAATCACAGTATAGAGATCTTCGCCCTCCCAAGCCAGTAACAACCTAACGTAATCGCCACCCAAGTTCTCCCTCAAAACTAACTTTTCACCCTATTGTTCATTTTCGGGTGAGACCACAGTAAGCGTCACTGTAACCCCACAGCTCAGTTTATGAAATTAAAGCGCCGCAACAGTCAGATCATTGTCATTATTTTGAGACTGACCCCTTTAGAAACTTAAGGCGTTTGCAACTTGGATATTTTTAAGCTACAGGATGATTAACACACTTGTAGAATGAAACCAGTTCCCTTATCATGCATAGCCAAAAGAGAAATTCACAATTTACAAGGCGTGGGGAGCTGAGCAGGAAAACAAACAAACATGTTTTTAAAAATGTAAATTAAGAAAGGAAAAAATTTTTCCTCTTTCAGGATTAACTAACTCATCGTCTCGACAATGCATTTCCTGTGATCAGAACTAGGGGCTTGAGCTAGGTGCTTTACTTACTTAGAGATCCACGCTTTGGTTTTGCTCTTCAAGATTTGGTCGTTCACATACAAACAGCAAGGTCAAAGCTGAATGCCCAAAGCCTTAATTCTCGAAGTTTCCCTGAAGATGTGGGATTTCTTCTTCAAGATAGCATTCTCATTGTCTCTCGAGAATAGATTAGAAAAATTGGTGAAAATTTCAGCACTTTCCCTGGCCCCTTTGCCCTGTCTCTGAGCACAGTTGTCGCCAGCAGTCCCATTCACGGACTAGCTGAGCACAGGAGATCGAGAGGACCCGTACTCAACTACATGACAGGGAAATAGTTTTGGTGACAATCATAGTTAAACACCGTAAAATCTTTCCTAGTAGGCCATGCATGAAAGTTACAAACACACCTACAGACACCTCCCCATGGGCAAAAATAAAAGAGGATCTAAGGAGAGACGGAAGCGGACTCTCCCCTCTGGAAGACAGGTTTCCAGCCCTTTGCAACACATGGACCGGCCCAAGCCGTGAACGTGTGCCGAAACATCTCATCTGGACTGTCAGGGAACACCTCTGTATCGCAGAGTACGTCACACACTGCTGGGGCCACGCATAGCAGCAGCTCGGGATTCGTAGGTCCCGCGTATCGTCGGGCTCGCACCCACGGGTGGCAGGAGGCCCCCGGGGCTGTCGCCAGGCAGGGGAAAGGCAGGGAGCCGGTGTCCGGGTTCTGTTCACTCTCTCCTGGGCAAACAGCATCGTGCCTACTGCACCAAGAACATTCCCGAGCCGCTCGGAAAAAACGGTGTCAGTATTTTGACAGAGAGACAACCGAGAATGCCGGCTCGGAGCCGGGCCGGGGCTGACTGATGGAGGCGGATGACGGAGGCGATGATGGAGGCGATGATGGAGGGCCACCGCCACCCCCTGGGCCGGGCGGGGAGAGCAGGCTGGGCTGCCGGCGGCGGGGCAGCGGCCCGCCCTGGAAGGGGTGAATGGCTCCGTTCTTCACATTCCACGAGTGAACGATCCCAGCACGGGTCTGCCGTGGAATATTTAAAACCATGTCCTACAGTCGCGCCTGGGAAAGGGTGTTTCAGCTGAACGACTGTGATGAATTCAGCTCTGCCAGCTGGGAACTCTGCTCCTAAGTAGTAAAGCGGTTCGTCAACAGCCAAAGAAAAAGTCGCACTAAAATGAGAGATGCTTTGCTTGTGCCGTTACAGGAGAAGCGCCATCTGATCAGCCCCAGTTTGTATTCAACTCTGGAAAGTAAAACACGTTCTCTAAATGACGTCCTGCGTGCAAAGGATTCTCCCATACAACACTTTTCAGCCTGGATCAATCCACGCAACGTGGAAAAGACATAAAATAACTTGCTAATGAGAATTACCGTATTTGTGAGTAAACATCTCTTCCCATTTACCACTGTCCTCGCTTACTTACACGCAACAAATGACTTACAGAGCTTTTACGGGAAGCTGTAAGGAAGAGGAATAACAGAACGCAACTGCCGTGTGATGAAAGATTGAGTAAACTATGTAACCACTGGTATCGAATTTTGTTCAGAAAAAGGTTTTCACACATTTACTCTTTAAAACTGCTGTATTGCAAAAGGATTGGTATTTTCTGATTCTACAGATAAATGAGAACCTTTGAAATCCAATTTGGTTTATCCACGTTACCACTTTCCTCTCCAGAACAGCCACCAACTAAGTTACCGTAATTCTAAGGTGCAAGAGCCAAATGCAAACACTATTTCCATAAAACAGAGCTTATATTGCACAGCAATGGTCACTGATTATGTGAGCCACTTGCTAAAAGTAAATTGAACAAACGAGGAAACAAATGCAATTACTTTTGGAGTCAATCATAGTAACTGAGAGGAATTTGTATTTCAGTTGCTTGCTTGCCTTGAAAAAAAAATTTAAAATGAGGGGATGCAGGGCAAAGACTGTAAATAGGGCCCAACTGAGAAAAATGAACTGCATAGCACAGAAAGCACTGCAGTGGACTTACACTGCTGCTAGCTGCCCTAGAAGACAGCCCTTTACTCGCTGTCTATCCCCACAAGTATGTGATGAATGAATAGATCATACGGCATCATATGAAGTTACAGGACCTACCCAGATTTGAAACAATTAAACAAACTACATTAGTCACCACGAAGGGCACATTGTCATAATTTCCAGTAAATATCGCCCCAAATTACACCATGTCTGTGGTGAACAGTTTTATGAATAGATCAGGTATTTCTACTTAAAACTAAGAGCTTGAGCCAGCTCTTAAGTTTTACTACTGATGGCAGAACTTCAAAAGTTCACACAAAGCTTTCTTTTTTTCTTTTTTTTTTTTTTTTTCAACAGAACTGGACTGTAAATCTGCTAAATTTCTCTTTCATTTGGAAAAGAACAAATTAGTTTGGTACTTAGCATCTTGCATTTGACCAGACACCGGAGCAGCAGTATAACCTCAGTGAAGCC